TGATTCGCTTAGTGATTCACTTCAAAACTTTGATTGGATGTGTGCATTGGGAAATTTTAAATGATGTTTCTAATCTTATTGGGTTAATTAGCTCATGACTAAAGGGCTGACCATTTCCCATTTTTATTATGAAGGGGGCGAATGAGGAATTTCCTTTTTATTTTTTTTAAAACATTTTTCGTTGTTCTTTATTATTCATTTTTTAATGGCGTTTTTAGTTCCCATTTAGCAAAAATGCATTATCTCTCGTACTTATAATTTCATTCTAATTTTAGTATCATGGGTTAGGTAAAGAATTAAAAGAAGCAACAAAGCTTCGTTATTGAAAATTCAACGTTGTCATCGTCAGTGGTTGGATAAGTATGAATGAGTTTGATTTCTCTAAATTTGAATTGAGAGTTTGAACATTATGAATGATGGGTGGAAAAAGATCACTCATTGAAATAATTATTTTTAATTAAACCTAACAACATTTACGTATAATATGATTAACGCTAAATATTCTGACTATAGTTAGAGGTGTTCACTTGACAGGACGGGACCGAGATCGGGACCGGCCTGTCCCAATGATCAGGGACGGGACAGGGCTTTAGTTCTGTATCTTGTCCCATCCCGGTGACGGGATGTCCTATTTTTCTCCTTTTTTAAAAAAAATATATTATAATTTTTTATATAAATTTTTATGTTATAATGCTTATTTTTTATTGGACTTCTAAAGATAAAAACATTATAAAAATATTATGCAGAAAGCTCAATTATATAGTATAAAAAAGTGTAAAGATAATACTGTATAAAAAATACAATAAAAGAAAAAATACAGTAAAAGAAACACTATATAATGGCTTTATGAATTATTTTATTGAGGAATGAATTTTTGTTAAGATAATACTACAACTTAAGAGCTAAAAATCACTATAAAAATAATAATTATTATTAATAAGTAAATTAAATAATCTAATAATAATTATTAATAAATAATTTTTTTAAAAAAATACCCCAGGATGACACAATCCCTTCCCGTGTCCCATCTCATCTTGAAATTTTTTTTGTCCCGTCCTATTTTGTCTTGAGCTCATCGGGACTAGGACGAGATAAATTGAACCCCCTAACTATAGTTTTTGATAAAGGGGGAAATATAACATTCAGTTTCTGAATTTTGTTTCAATTATCAATTTAATTTCTGAACTTTTACTTAAAACAATTCAGTTGTTATAATTTATTGGTTTAATAAATTATTTATAGAAATTGAATTGTGCCCAGTTAGAAAGCCAGTAAGAATGAATTGCTCCAAGCAAAAAAGAATCATGAAAATAAGACAATAAGTTGTTTTGGAATTATTACCTTTACTCCTTAATATAAAGTGGAATTAACTAATTTGAAAATATTAAGAAAGTTAAAAAAATTAATTTAAAGTATTTATATTTATTGTTTTTCTCTATATTAGTTTGCATGACTTATAAGTTAATGTAATACCTCTTATTATTAATATAAGATCCTGGTTGATTTAGATGGAGAGATTATTGAAGCTAAACAAATCACTTTAAGTTATTTTTATTTACTATTTTTTTAAACTAATTTTTCTAACTTATAGACAGATACATAATCTAATAATATACATAAGTATTTTAGAAAGATTATGTAATATATTACGATGATTAAGTAATTCATTCATCTTTTTTAACTTGCTCAAATTAATCAAATCGGTCCTGTGGGAGTTAAAAGAAATTATAAGAATAAGAAGCTTCCAAGTTAAAATTTATGACTAAATTAATAATGAAAAAAATGTAAAAATTAAAAGTCATATTTGGACAAATAGTGTTGGGGTCCATGCAGGTGCATCGGCGGGTGAGAAAAAAATCATGTGGGATCCAGCAGAAGGACAAAATGGAATAAAATAAACAAGAATATAATATAATACTCCCTCTGTTCCTTATTATAAGAGACAAACAATCGAAGTACGTTGATCAAAAAAACAGTTAAAATTAGTTAAGAACAATTAATGTGTAAAAAGTATAATTTTTTCCAAAATACCCTCATTAATAAGGAGAGAGAGCATGAGAGAGAACAATTAAATTATTAAAAGAAAGAGAAATGAGAGGGAGAGAGAGTGTGAGTTGGAGATAATAAATATGAGTAAAATAGTAAATCAACACAAAAAAGTAGAGACAACTTGTAAGTGTCTCTTATATATAGGAACATGCCATAAGCATCAAATGTCTCTTATAATAAGGAACGGAGGGAGTAATAAAGAACGAGAACACGGGGGCGTGGGAGGGGGATCTAATTGTCCGTGTGGGTCAGAGAGTTTTGAATAATGAGGAATCTTATCATGTTTAATCTTTAATTATGCTTCTTCCTCATCACCATCACCATCATCATCTTCCATCAACCCTTACTTTAACACCTTAATCAGATCTCTAAATATCTTTATCTGTGTGCCTAAGACACCCCTGTCCCACCATGCTTGTCGGTCACAACACACTTAGGGTTTGTTTGGTATGATGATTAAAAATACTTAGGTTAAAATATACATTTGGTTCTTTAATTTTATATAATGCTTTAATTTGGTCCCTTAATTTTAAAAAGTATACTTTTAATCATTTAACTCCAGAATTATTAGTCGTAAATAATGATTTCTTGTAACAATTATGATTGTTTTGAATATTAAACTTAATATATTAGCATTTAGTAATGTTTTATCAGCTTTTAAAAGCTTAATATCATCATTTTTTTTTAACAGTTTTAGGGTTAGAGGATTAAAAATTTACTTTTTATAGTTAAAGGACCAAAGTGAAACTTTGTGTAAAGTTAAATGACTAAAAGTATACTTTAACCAAATACTTATAAGCATATTTCATGTCAATCGAGATAAAACACCTCTCATACTTATCTTGTATTCCGTAAATTACGATTAAAAAGCTATTTATAAGCTATTCCAAAAGGGTTCTTAATTAATTAATTATTGAAGCCATACATATATGCCGAGAGTGACGCCTGTGTTGTATGTGCGTGTGTATATATTTATATACACACACTTGTACATATGTATAAAATCTTAAAGGGATTTCAGATCCTTGCCAGAGGGCAAATGGGCGATCCAAACATCTCTTAAAATTAAAAAGAACTACACGCACGCACAAGTAAATAAGCCTTTCCTTTTTGTGGGATTTTTTTTTTCAAATAAAGTAATTAGTTATATTACATGAAAAAGGCCGCTGCATAAATATAGTCCCACACTAGACAATAATTCATGAGAAAGTTCAAATCGTATACTATCTTGAAAACTTAATAGGATAAAGTAACATTTAATATTTTAATTTTGTTTTCCAAGTGGATTCAATACTTTGATGTTATTTTCATGATACAACTACATCCCGGTATTATTTTTTTCAGTTACATCCAATACTCTAATTTTTAGAGTATTACAAATAAAGTCAGAGTGCCAGAAGAAAAAAAAATATATATATATATATTATATACTAGATACTACACTACAAACCTAGAAAGATAAGAACATTGTATGCTACTTTGTCCCAATTAGAAACACCTATTACAACCATGAAAATAAAATGCCAAATTAAAACTCCATCAGAACTTCCTTTTTTTCCAAAAAGAAAAATGATGCAACACCAAGAATCAACTTCTGGCCGTATGAATAGGATCGTGACGAAAAATCAAGGCGAACAGATATATATATATAGTGGAAGCAAACTTTTGAAGGACAAAAATCAGAATCGACTGAAATAGAAGACGCCTGTGACATCTCTTGGATCCCCAGTTGATGTGCTTAATGAGGCCACCTTTATCAAATAAGGGTATCATCATATAACAGAGTGAACAAACACGCAGAAGCAACCAATACCCCTTGAAACTTGAAGAGCAACACGAACTTCCAAATATTCTTGTTTTCCTTTTGCTTCTTTCAAGAAACTGAATTGAGAGTTTGAGACTAATTACATCTGAAACCAAATGGTATATTCAACGCAGTACTTCTTATTTACTCTCCTCTTACACTCTTACAAGTCATTTTTCATTATCTTATAGTATAAGTCTCATATCTGACTGGTAATCTTCTTCCTTCTCTTTGAAGAACTCCATGTCCTCTCAACCATCTCAAAGAATATTCCATATTTTTTATATAGACGACATATCAACTCTTTCTTTTGTATGTATGTATATATGTGTTTGTTACATTGTATCAGCAATCATCACTGTTAAGTAGAGTGAGAATCTTTGTTTAATAAAATAAATCGCAGAAAGGGGAGTGAATCGTCTGGCTGCTAAGCAAATAACTTTAACATCGTCAATTAACCGTAAGGATGAATCGAAGGAACCACACACTGCTGCTGGAAGCACATTGAGAGCATGATTTTCAAGAGACCGTGTCCTCACTGAAGCTTCAAGCTTTAGAAAACTCCAGGCACTTTCCTCGACTTCGTCCACGGAACTCAGGTTGATCTGGTGCGCATTCGCGCATGCATTCGAATCAAGTAGGCAGAATTTTCGCTACCGTTATTTTTCTGTATCAGTTAGCCTGGAGCGTTGTTTCACTCAAAGTATATTAGCAGATTTATGATTTCTCTGATAGCCTGTTTCTTCTCAACTCTCTTCTCATCGTTATGGTTTTTGTTGAAGAGCTATTCTAGTTTCCGAGTAAAATCGATTAATCGTTTTGATTTGGCAATTGCATGGAAGGGATGCTTCTTCATGGTGTCATAATCTTTGCCGGGGAAATGATATATGTAAGGAGAAAGAGAAGTGGAGCTGCTTCTGTTTGCTTCACCTCCCTTATCTGTCATTTTTTAATCTCTGCGTTACCAAATGTTTTCCGATCAGATGGGAGAGGGGCGTCTCTGAATGAGCTTTATACTCTTTATTGAGAAATTTTGCATGGGCAGGGAGAAAGGATATATAGTAATAGTATGGTGCTTCACATCCTATGGGACTGCATGAAGCAGTGTCATTTTCAGTTCATATTTTTTCGTGTTGATTGATGATGAGTATATTTTCTGCTTCATGGGGGTATGTCTTATTTATACATCAGTTATGATGCTAACGAGAATCTTCTTGTTTGAAATCAAACTAATTACAGTTGACAGCATACCAAATGAAAATGATCTCAAATCTGCTAGTCATTTTTGAAGTTTTGCAAAAATTTGAAGTTCTAAGTTTTTATAACACTCAAACCATTGTTAATGTACAAATAATCCCATTTATTGTATACTACATGGGATCTCTGGCAAAGAAAATGGAGCCTTGAAAATCTGTCATGTTACATCTTTTGGTTTTTATCCTCACTCTCTTGTTTCTCATTTCATTCTGACTTTTTTTGATCTCAGACTTTCTCTCCAGCTACTGTTCTTGAAATTGTCAGCATACGCAGCGACCTTCTACTAAGATGATTTCATTTGCTTGTGATTTTTATTGTTAGTACTAATATCAGGTCCTTGAGTGAATGGCAAACCAGTCTTCAATTAATGCAAGGCCTTTGGTAGTTTTCTCAGATTTGTAGTTAATTTTATTCTGCTACCTTATCAGAAGGATTTTTTTTTTTTTGGGGGGGGGGGGCTAGTGACTGAAAATTTCAGGTGTTTTTATGGAGTTTTGGTTTGAGAATTTCTTGATTTTCCAAATCCAGTTATGCCACTTGCGCTTAAACATCAGAAGTGACATGTCATTGCCTTCTAGGCTAATTATCATTTATTTGCCCTTTCTCGCATATAATAAGGATCATGTTTTGAGGACTTGGTACAAGAATTGCTGTTCCTACATCAGCTTGTGGAACCAAGCTAATAAACCAACCCTTCATGTTTGTAAAATTTGTGTATCCAAATTTTTCTTTTGAAAAGTGATCTGGTATCATTTGAGAAAAATAGCTGGTAGCAATGCACTGTACACATCTCAAAAATTTCACCTACCGCATATGACTTTGAACATTTTTTACCACATTTATCCCTTGTGATTACAGATATTGAAGAAGCAAACCATGCATAAATTTTATGATCTTTCTGTTAACTCTGAATAGGTCATTAAAAACGAAATTTGGTGGCAGGGTTGATATATTTGAAGAAGTTAAGGAACGGGTGAATATTCACATATAACTCTTCTAAAAGGAAATGCCAAAAAGCTCTGCTTTATGTTTACAAGCCATGGGTTATTGTGTTAAATCTTTTCCTTCTTGAGGTAATCAGATACATTCTAGATCTTAAGAAGAAGGTTTTATCATTTCTTTCTCTATATAACATGTGGAGCTGTTGAAAGTGCGGAAAAGTATGGGCTACCTTAGTCTTAACTTCAAATAAGTTTATTGATGTTTCATTTCTCTGTAACTTCATCTTCTTTATTCTCTCGCATCGATTCCTTATATTTCTGCTGCCATTTCAATCATAAGCTTGCAGTTTTGAATGCCCATACATGTATTGCTGGGCAATATCTCTGTAGCCGATGAAAGGTCTTGTCATTTGCATAAGACAGGTTTGTTCTTGAAATTAATTTCCTTCTTTGCATTTGCACAATCCCTTGTTTGGTTTACCTCTTTAACTGTGATAAAACTATGAACGTTTAATGACTTACTTTTATACCATAGTTTCTTGATGTGTTTTCAAAATAATCAATGATACTCCTGTAGTGGCAACTTCCGTTTTTTGGAAAATAAATGTAGTTAATGACTCTTTCTTGACATTTTCCTGCAGGTTTGCTTCAGAGATTTTTTTTTTTTAATAAATGTTATAATATGGGAATCTAGTCCTGATGTGTCTAGTGCTATCTCAACTTGGCGAATAATGAATATCCCTTTTGAACTGTGAACACAATGTAAATTGAACTACCATTATGCAAAATTCTAAGCTTTTCTGTCTAGCTAAATTCCCAGTTCCATTTATAGTAAACATCTATTACTGATTCTGCAAACCCATTATGTTGAACTTCAAAGTGAGACTAAACCATAGTAGGATTTTTGAGGAAAAGAAATGATTAGTAGATACAAAGCCACATGCAAATGAGCTGTCTGCTGCTAAAATTCAGAAAATTGCCGTACTAGCAAAAGAAGACCTTGGAAAGCGTTTTAGCCTTGTGTAGGTGAAGAACTGATGTTATAATGAGTGATCTGTTATAATATCAATTTATTTAATGTGGAAAGACATGCCTTCCAATTTGATTATGAAACTTGAGTTGGCAGTCACCAAAGTTCTTACCACTTGGCCGAAGGGGCCTGTTACAATTTTGACAGTCACTACATCTCAAAGACTGAAGTTATTAGGAAGTGGTCTTGGAATAGTTTTTGTGTCTTTCTTAATTTGACATACTATTTGACATCCTCAGCGTACTTTAAGAACCTTGCTTTTTTGTTAGTTTTTCAAACCCCATTCCTTTGAATCTCCTAATGGTGCTCTGTAGTCTCCCTATCTTGTTGCAGGTGAAATCCATCTTATAACCAAGCACCATGATGACAAATTGCTATTGATTTATTGCAGAAGCTAGTGCTCTACACCTCATTTTCCATTGATTAATCTAACTCCTAAAGTTGGCTTGGTTTCCCCTGTCCTGGAATTACATGGACCCCATACTGACAAGGACTTTCTCCTTTACGTTTTAGGTTCATCTGGGTACAGCATCCACTAGGATTTATTGAAACTCCATTATATAAGCTTAGGTGCGCTCCTCTATCATTCAATGGCTCCTTTGATATATCTTCAATAGTATTAGATTGTGAAGATCACCATCACGATGCCTTGTTGAACAATCCACATTAGGAGATATGACAATCAGCTAAAAGGCCAGAAAGTTGTCATCCACGCACTGGTCATGCTCTCGTTAGGCCCTTAAGTGGCTTAGTTCTTTTAGTTAGTGTAAAATTATGTGAGGTTTTGAGTAAGTGAACTTAAACAATTGACATCTATATATAAGTGTGCAAAACAATAAAAAGTAGCACTGTGATTTGTGTTGAGCTACATCCGACTCAGCAAGGTTATGTTATGACTCCAACATCTGCTAAAATATATTGGGATGAAAGCCGGGCAAACTACAATAGTTTAATTTAATACGTAAATGGTAGAGCATTGTTAAGATTAGAATTTTTTATTGAGGTGAAAGGGAATTTCCTTTTTACACCAGAAATTCATTCAGTTGCATCACTGATTCTAGACAGACAGTAACCGATGCTATAAAGGAGGATACTTACCACTAGGTTGTGTTTGCAAAATCACTTAATAGCTATCACTCAAGGAACTTATCAATGTTTTCTGTAAGGTTTGGTTTGAGGAGAATGAAAGAAAAGGGGAGGGATGAGAACTTTTTTCTCAACACTTTCTTGTTCGTTTAAGATTTATATAATTATTTAGTTCTATCCATTTGCTTTATATTTTTTTCAGCCGAGTCCATCCAAAAGAATAGCTACTTCTGCAGACTTTTCAAATCAAGCTTCTGCTAACACAAATCAATGTTCATGTCCTTTGTCGGTAAGTCTCATTCGTAAATTTTGGACCAAATGATTGCAATTTTTGGTTTTCTCTTCTTGTTCTGTGGAATACTTTTGGTGAAAGGTCAGGTCAAGGAAACCAACAAAACTTAAAGTCCCATTCAACAAAGGAAAAGGAGATTGAATCGTGGTTTTTGGGATAGAAGATGTTATGGTTATTAAAAAAAGCCTTCAATCTTGAAATTTTAGATAAAAAAGCAGATCTCGTGGAATATAAGCTAAGAACTTTTCAAAGTGCGTAGTTTGGGACCACTAAGGATGCTGCTATACTACTACATCAAGGTAAGATTACTAGGCACGTAAGAAATAGAAAGTTGTCATGTTTTTATATTCCTAAATACCGATCCGGTTTTGAATATAGGACTTAATTGTTGAGTTGATTTTAATTCTAAATATAAGATCTATTTCTTATATTTATCAATTTTCTCTAAATTACCCTATGGATACTCCCTCAACCATAATTAAGTAGAAAAGGGAGAAGGGATATTAAGAAAGATGATTGTGGTGTTTTAAGAAAAACATGTCATATTCTTATAATTGACTGACTTACCTAACTTCTTGAATCTAATTAAATTAGTTAAATAAGTCTTATATTAAGGATTAAAAGAGTACATCCTTTGTGCTAAATTAGTTAATAGAAAGTATGTTGCTTGAATTACTTATTATGAAGATTGCAATTGGGTCCAGTTTTGGGTGCTCATCACCCAGCGCTCATCACTTGATGAGCAATCTGAATAGTCCAGATTTAATATTTTTAAATAATTATTTTAAAATAGAAAAATTATTTTTAAAAAAAATAATAATTCAGAGATTATCTTTATTTTTTATTCTATACCTATTAAAATAATTATTTTAAAAAAATAAAAATAAAAATAAAACTAAATCTGGATTGTTCATATTGGTGAGTGCTGGGTGCTCATCAACACTGATGAACACCCAAACTCATTCCGATTGTCATTACATACTAAATTTCTATATGAAATATGTAGTGCATGCATCAAGAAAAAATTGTTTCTATACAGTTTTCTTAAAAGTGTGAACATTTTACCTCGTTCACAAAAGAATATCAAATTTGAATGTTATTCCTGTGTTAAATTTGTTAACAAATACAACCTCATGTTCTTGCAATAAGAGTGAGATTGAATTTGATTCTAAATATAAGACCTCAATCCACTTTGTCTCATAAATTTATAATTTATCCCTAAAATATTCTTATTGAGTATAAGTGATTTTCACTAAAAGGGTAATTCCAATATATGTGATTTAGGAGAATAGTTTAGAAAAGTCAATAGACATTTGTTACAAATAACCAATTCAACTAATTTTCTTAACATCCCCAAGTTAATCATTTAGTTTATTATATTAAGGACCGGAGGCAGTATTGTATTTCTTACAACATCAGCTTCTATCTTTAATTTTGAGCTGAGGATGACAGAAAGTAAAATTTTCTACACTTTAGATACTTTGAAGATCCTGTGTTTATTTGTAAAACAAAAGACTGATGTAACCTAATCTAAAGTAGAAACCTGATATGACTGTTAACTACTGCATCGACATCGTATCAGGAAATAAATACCAGTCAATTTTGTGGCCTATCCCTCAATATGAGGGAGTTTAGCGGATAAACTCGGATGCTTGAAATGAAAACCATGTAATATACTTATAAAGCAACAGTGAGTCAAAGAAAAAAAGCAAATAATTGAAAATATCGTATGAATCTGTGTAGATTTTACGTTTCAGGAGAGAAAACGGCATATCAGAGAGAGTGGAGGATCAGAAAGACAGTAACAGAAAGTGATGAAGGTTTTGGAGAAAAAATTGACTGCAGAAGAAAAAAATAAAAGGGGTCGGTGAGGCTGCTTCTTTGTCATGGTGATTTCATTTTCCAACTTTATGAGAGCTCCGCTTTAAGCACAGCAAATGATTCTGCTGAAATGCTTATATCTGTATCTGATACACACACACACACACATATATGATAAGGAAAAGCATGATGATGTTGGGATAGGGTCCCATTTCACATGCGTGTGTGTGGGGATGTGGATAAGAAGAAGAATAATTATTGTGAGGACGTCATCTCATGAATGGTTGATGATTACATTATGTGATATTGTAGCTTTGTAAAGAATGGGTGGTTCTTCTAATTTGGACTAACAACAATTCTGTGTTTGATAGCAACTTCCTTTTACGTAAGAACCCCTAGCTAGCATCCATTTTCCCTGGCTAATGTCCCTTTTCTTCTGCCAAACACCTTCCAAGTGGACAAAGTAGTGTACAAGCCACTTTTGGTCTTTTATGTTTATTTTCTTTCTTTCTTTCTTTTTTTTCCTCCTCCTTCCCATTTGGGCAAGAAAGTGTGGTACAATATCATATTCAGTTTTGCTTTCTTCTTCTTCCACCCACCCATCCCCGCCCCCAAAAAAAAGAGTCCCAATAGAAATTTTGGAGATGGTTGTCATTATTCATTTTGGTTTTTTTTTTTGTGGGGTTTGATTCAATATTATTTTTTGATAAAATTGAAATTGTAGCTATTAAAGAACTCAATTTCACCCATGCCTCTTCTTTTATTTTTGTAACTAGAAACTAGAATGTTGTAGTATTGATTATAATTCATGGGTTTTATACAAAGTTTGGGAAATAAGTTTTATTGTTTTATAGTGAATCTTATATTTTATATTAGATAGTGATATTGATATTAACAACTAACCTTTGAAATTAATATTGATAATTGATTTAGATTCTTTAAAATCGAAGTACCTTTGAAGGATATAAGAGAGTGACGTATGAAGAGCGGGAGACTTTTCTTCCCCTCTTTTTTCATGACTTTTGTCTCTCCATTTCTCTTTTTTCAAAAACACTACAGCTTTAAGAACAAAAATTCAAAATTATTATTATTAAGAGCAAATGATTTTTTCTTCTTCAAAAGAATTATCTTCAATGCATGTTTAAGTTAAAGTTATCTTTTGATTAAGATAGACAATTATTATAACTTTTTTTAACTATGCATACAAATTCTCTTATTGTAGACAATCGTATTCAAAGTATTGTCGGGCACTAACTAGTCTATTCTACTAGACCTAATTCTTATTGGTTTATTATAATTCTTAAACAGACAAGAAAATGAATTATCTAAAGATAATAAATGATACATTCCGTACTTTAAGAAGTCAAAGAAAGTGGATAAACACAATAAACCAAAAGAGTTGATCAACCAACCAAAGATCAAATCCGATTTATAAGTTTCTTAATATCTCCAACCATAACCAAGCCAATTTATTAATAATTAAGTGTTTATAAATTACCAAGGAAGAAAAACGGAACTAAATCCAATAAAATTGAGGGCATATTACAAATAAAGACAGATTTCTGCAAGAAAAGAAATATAATTCCCTAAAAGAAAACCTAGATATTAGAAAGATAAATTTAGTGTGTTGCATACTTGCATTGAAGCATTGAAGTTAATTTGGATAATAATTAATTTGAGAAGATCTATTTAAACGTTGAGTTTCTAAATGATTACCTACTAGTATTAATCACTGGAGAAGAACATCAGACGCATGCTTGTTCCATTCCCAGTTCGTCTGCTTCGTTTCTTCATGGGCCCCATATGAAGCCCAATGGAAGCCCAATGTACTCTGATGACTCAAAGTCACAGGTGAGAAAGTCGGTTTATGTGATGAAATCGAACCCTGTGATTTAAATTATAAAAAAAAAAAGCATTGGAAAAAAAAATCTGGATCTGCATTTCTTCATTTAATATACATGTATAATTTAATTAGACAAGGTTAATAATTAATATATATATATATATATAAAGCTTCGTAGTTCTCAATATATCATAACTTTTCAAAATGGGATATTACTAGTGTTTTAATATATATGTATAATTTAACTAAACAATGCTGACATTTTTCATTGGCCCATACTATACTCAACTGATGAATCATTTGCGTCACATTTTCACACTTTATTGTCCTTTCAGGTTTATGATCTAATCACAAGTGAAAATATTTTGACTATTTACTAATAAATAATAACACCTCGTTAATCTCACTTTTTTATAGATTAATCAATTTTGACTCACTGTACCAGTGTCCATACCTGATCAAATTCAAATCTTACTTCGAATCTAACCAAAACATAGACTCTCTCTCTCTCCATCGATATACTTTTCTGATCCTAAATATAAAATCTATTTTGTAGTGCAAATACTCCTCTGATCCTAAATATAAGACTCATATTGTAGTGCAAATTGTACTACAAAATGGTTCTTATATTTAAGACCAGAAGAATATATATATATCCAACTTGGAATTTGATGGCCAAGAGTGGGCATAAATATGGCAAAACAACAATAATTTTTAAACGAGGTCTTATAAATAAAATCGAAGGTAGCATATGGTAAGACATCATTGTATTATATTAACAACTAAATTTTTGGCTATATTATTAATTAAAAGATCCCACTTAATAATTTTATTGAAGGCAGTGAAAAAGGGCTTTGACAACTTAAATAAGAAGTCTCTAGTTACTCTGGATTGGACCCAACAATACTCGGATTTAACTTAGATAGTCATATGGAAATTTTGTTTTCGGCCTTCTTCGTCTGTCCTTTTGAAATGATTCTATGTTGTCTAATTTGCTCTTCTTACTTGTACCTCCAACAATGCAACCTTCTTTATACATGAATCAATGTAAAATCCTGTTAAACCTTTTATGTGGAGATGGACAAAAATAAATAAATATTGCATAAGTGGAAGAAATTCAAATTGCATCCTGCGATTGTAATTACAATCATTTCACAAGTATTTAAGGTCATATATTATAATTAAGAATAATATAGTGAATGGATATGACAGTTTGATAACAAAAAATGAACAAGACATGCAGCGTTCTGTTGTTTTTTTGACCAAGATGTATGTATGCTTCTTCTTTATTACATTGAAAGAGACAGCAAAATCAATTATACATTATTTGTTTTCATCAGCAACACGACACATAACTTTGTAAAAAGTTAGAGTTGTAAAAGTTAGAGTTGCCCATTCTCATGCAATTTGCTTTCCCCTTCTTGTATTATCATCCATCACCTCGATCATTTTCTTATTTATCTTCTTAGTGGAACAAAAATCATATAAACTTTATTTTATTTTACTACTACGCTCTCAAAGAGTCTCAAATGATAGAGAAATGGGTTAAATACCCCTTTTAATCTCTAAAGTTTGATATCATTTTCGTTTTAATCACTAAAATTTGAAATAAGCGGTTTTGATTATTAAGATTTGATCTCATTTTGGTTTGTCTAAGAATTTTTTGTTTCTAAAACAAGACTTTATGAACTAAAATTATTGGTTTCAAATTTTAAAAATTAAAAATGGTATT